TTCCTTTTTTTTTTTTTTTTTTATACCAGGGATCGAACTTGGGACCCTGTACTTGCAAGGCAGGCATTGGAACTACTGAGCTAAATCCCCAACCCTCTTCTTCACTTTCAATACTATGTTTAAAAAGTGCTTGTGAACTGCAGAACCAACACAAACACATTCTCTTTACAAAGCATGAAAACTCCATCTATAAACTAAGCCCCCTTTCACCCTTCTCCCAGCATACCCAGCTAAATGGCCTGACAAAATAAGTCTGGGGTCTTTCATTTCAAATATTCTCCTCTGCCCAGTCCCCTACACACAATTTTTCCACACAGATAAAATTAATTTTCCCACTGCCAAATCCAAGTCCTAAGATTTCACTTCTACTGTATTTCTGAAATTAACCCTTCAATGCCTAAATTTAGGTCCTCAGCTTTGTCTCAAATATTACACTGCCCTATCTTCCCCATCTCTGGTTCTTATGTGTTGCTTTCTAAGGGACACAGGAAAGACGTTCCAACAGGAAAAATGGTTCCACCAGCAGAAGAGACAACAAATGCCAAAAGTCCATTAACAGATTTAGACTGCAAAAAACAAATCCTGTTCTAAGTTTACAAATCTTACGTGAAGATGGTATTTGTCCATTTTTATTTGTGATGTGTCATTTCACAAAAAAATAACATCATTAAGTCCAACTTATCTACATGTTTATTATTTAGTTGCATTATACTTTTAGTCCTGCTTCGCCTTCTCATAAAATCAGATACTTCATTGTTATTAAGGTGATTTAAAGATCAGACAAAATTCATCCTTGTAAACCCTTCAGTATTACATCAGATTCATGATACTTACACAACAAATAAAGTCCTTCATGATTACACTGCCATAAATGTTGAACAATGTGTTGTCACAGCCTAGACTATCGCTTAGCTGTCTGGTCCATTGGTGGCCACTTTTCAAAATCAGGTTCAGCTGCTTCTGCGCACCATCTCAACCTCTCCTTCAGGTAGAACGCATTCTCTCTTCCCCTAACCCTGGAAAGTTAGTTTAAGGATCTTATTCCCCACACCTTTCTGTGTTATGTATTCCTCTCCACATTGAGCCACATTCTTAGGGAAGGAATCCAGTTTCATTTATCTCCACAGCCTCAGCGTGTAGGTAAGTACCTATCATGTATTCAACCAGTAAATATCTGACCAACTGAATTTACTTTAGTGAAGACGTAGTCCAATAAGTCTTCGTGGTCTTCAGTTTATCAAATATTCAAATGTATAAACTGTTACAGTAGCATCTATCCAACATTTTTACTTTTCTTTATACTTTACTGGTCTAATCCAACTCTATTATTTCCTCCCTAGAGGCTTTCAAATGTGTACCTAAAGAATGAGGAATTTTTCTGCAATTTAATACAACTAGGAAGAAGGGCAAAGAGAAGAAACTCAGTTTCTACTTGATAAACTTGGCCACTGAATCTTAAGAAATCCACTGAAATAATAAAAAGTCGGGGATTTAGGGCAGCAGCACCACGCCTGCTTTGCAAGCACGAGGTCCTGAGGTTCAATACCCAGTACCAAAATAAATAAATAAAGTCATCCCCCCACTAAATGGATGTACCCCACAGAGTTTTACTTTGAGTATATGAGATCTTAGTAAGTGACTGTCTGCATTATCAGACCATCTGCCACACAGCCTTCCCCCGAGTACGTAGATAAACAAGCTCCTGTACCTGGTCCTCCTCGGCTTTCTGCTTCCTACATCTGAAGAAACCATGACAACTTGGCACCATTACTGGTTTCCACTCCAATAAGCTCAATCCCTTCCTCAGGACAAAAATCCACACAGTAAGGAGACTGACGTTTTTACATAACTCAACTGTTCGTCTCTTAACTGTCATTTAGAATCCTTATTACTGCGATAAGAAAGGGTTAAACAACTGGAAACGGAAGAAACTAAAATGATACTAAACTCCACCTCTTCTTTCACTAGCAATAGCAATAAAAAAGTGAGAAAAGGCAAAAACTATTTTTTTTGGCCTGCCAAGATGAAAAGTCTGAACAATAACCAAAACCATAATATGAAGAGTTATATGGTATCTGGATATATACATATATATTTTTAAATCTTCAGAACCAGAAGAATAATGCTAAGAATTAAACTCACAAATAAGTCAAAAACTGCAGCCATGAAATTTTGTTCTAAGAATATAAAAAAAAAAATTTCCATTTCATACTAAAAGTTGTCACTTTGACAGGTCATTTGTGAACAGAAACATGAGTAAATAAAAGATTGACGGAGTAAGATAAAGAGAACTTTAAAAAAATTAATGTCCACAGACATAAGGAATTTATATAAGATATAAGGACGTTAACTTCCCCGACTATCACAATTTTAAAAGAAAAGGTAAGTCTAATGGTTTCACTTGTATAATGATGGAGAACACTGGTTGCAGCAAAGAACAACATTCAAACGATTTTTTAAAATTTCAGTTTTCTGCTTAAATATAGGTAAAAGCTGCCATACTAGAACACCGGAATTCTAAGTCAGATTCAGAAAGTTTTAGGCATGTATTTTACTGAAGCTCATTTTAGAAAGTTTATTATATTGAAACAAACATTTCAAAATTCCCAGTAATTAATACCAGAAAGTACATCTGCTTTTCTAGATAAAAAAAAAAAAGAATCATGTGCGCAATCTAATCCAAGTCTCTAATGTTGCATTTTCCAACTGATATTTTAACACTAAAAATTTAAATTAGTGCCAAATGAATTATAACCAGACACTACAATATATATTTCCAGATTTCAAAAATGGTAAATGGAGGAAAGATGTCTCTTAAAAACTGAAGGAATGCAATTATCTTTCAAAAGTTACACCACAACAAAGAGAAATAAGAATACTATTTGGGGGGAAGCATGTACCAGGGATCAGACTCAGGACCTTGCACTTGGCAAGGCAGGCATGGTGCCACTGAGCTAAAACCCTGGCCCAAGGATACAATTAAGAATAAAACTTAAATACCATTTAAACTAAATGCCCTTTCAATATTTTTATCCATTATCTTTAGTTTGTAAGGGTATAGCATACAGAAAATATTAAGAATTATGCAAAACAATGTCATGATATTTCTTGACAAGTAAACACATGTTAACAAAATACTTCCAGCAACACAGCTACTCCAATTAATTCAATACTTGCATAAATGTGAAATTTTGGGGGGTACCGGGGATCAAACTCATGTCCTTGTGCTTGCAAGGCAGGCAACAGCACCACCAAAATAAATCCCTGGCACACATAAATTTGAATTTTTAAAAAAGTGCCCACATCTGCTAAGGAAGTAGTAACATTCGAAATAGTCTGTCTTAGGTTTTAAAAAATGCATATTCCCAAAACTTGCCATTAGGAAAACATGCAAAGCTTCTAGACTAGGATCAAGAGTTTCTAGAGTACTTTTTAAAACTATAATTCGAAGAGTCATGTAAGAGAACACTCAGAAAAAGCCATATAACAGACACTCCTGGGCACAAATTCATGGAACACTGCTTATTCAAAGTGGCTACAGTGTAATGGCTTGCTACAAATACAGAAAGAAGAACAATTATGTTAGGGAACTGCGATGAGATGGAAAAAATATTCTAAGAGAAAGGAATGAAGACCGAGATGCCCACTCTATGCAAAGCACTACACTTCCCATTTAAATCTAAAGAATTTACAATACAGTGTTAACTTGGCACTTGTCATTTATTGGTGAAGGGAGGTGCAATGAGTACCAAATCCAGGTACCAAAGAGTTTTGGCTGGAAAGCGTAGCAAGTCAAGAGGCAATCGGCACCAACAAGTTTAAGTTGCACATAGAATACCAAACAAATAAGAACTGGGACAAAATTTTTCAGTCAAATTGTATCATGTACCAAACATGATGAGTTTTAAAGTAGCAGGGTATGACGGTGTAAGTATAATCTTGGTGTACAAAACTCAGAATGAAAGGTATTAGAATATTAAGCAATTTAATCTATATCACTTTGCTAATAACTGCTGGTAATGTTTCAAACCCATTCTGTTTTTCAGAAGTCATGAAGCCTAGAAGAAATAGCTGAGGCTCCAAAAGCATGAGACAAGTTTGTCTACCCTATTTTTTTTTTCTGCAAAGTTCTTATAAGCAGATTAGTATTCACTTCATCTCAAGGAAGAAAGTTTTTATTTGGTATCTTGATAAGTACAAGGTGAAGAGGAATGCAATTAAAAGATACAGCTATGATTAAGCAGAACTTCTCAATTAATGATTTGGTTTCAAATTAAGAACCAGATCTTATTATATATTGGCTATTTCTACCTTATGATTTGTGAAAAGTCTTACCTGTTCAGAAATAAGAGTCTGCAGTCTTTGAACTTCTAACTTTAATGCTTTGTTTTGATCCTTAAGAATCTGGAAGAAAACAATTTTAATTTATTATGATTTTTTAAAGAAAAAAGGTAATAAAACAATCATCGGAATTTTTTAATCAAACTCATATTATTTTAAGTATTCATAGACTACCAGGTGAATCACATGCTGACATAAGAAGAATTCACATTTTTTTTAAGGTACAGGGGATCAAACTCAGGACCTTGCACTTGCTAGGCAGGCACAGTGCCACTGAGCTAAATCCCTGGCCCAAGAATTCATGCATTTTTAGACACAGGTGATATTCTCGCAATCAGGTACACAAAGTACATTGGCCATGACCACAGACTAGCACTGTGGCAATATTAGAGACAGATAACAACAGTCACAAATATAAATACCAGCTGAAAACAACCAATGAAAATAGGAGCAAACACTCTAAAGTGAAATAAATAAGACACATATGTAAATACCGAACAGTTTCTCTGGTATGAAAAACGAAAAGTGTAAATAAGATCCAAATGGTATAACTGACAATGTGAAATAGGAAGAAAAGCACTCAAGGTGAAGGGGAAGTGGGAAGGATAGGGGAAAGGAAAGAAGGGACTAGGAAAAAACATGAGAAGAGGAAAAATGGAAACTAAGTTTTTGTAAATAGGGGAGGGAGGAGGGGGAAAAGGGAGGGCAGGGACAAGGGGAAAAAATGAGAACCAAGACCTGTCATGTAAAGGTACAAGATCCCAGTGATGAATGTAACTGTACTGTATACTTAAAAAGAACCAATAAACTCAATGAAGAAAAAAAACAAAAGAAAGAAAATAAGGGCAAAATAAATCTCAAAAGTTTATTAGAAGACCCAGTTAAGTCAGAATCCACAGAAAAAGCCTCTGACAAAATTCACTATTTGCGTAAGCACCCAGGTAAACTACAGAAACACTGCTTCAAGGTGATTTCATACACAAAGTAGTATTTCTACATTCACTGCAACTGAAAATCATACAAGCTAATTCTAAGAAAGCTGAATGTACAAGCTTAATCACATACCTTAAATTCCTCCATTTTGTTTGAAATTTCACATTGTAACTTATCTTCAAGCAATCTTATTTTATCATCCTTAACATGAATACTATGAGAAAAAAGCACCAATTAAAAATATTTTTTATATTCAGTTGAAGTCATGTGTATAGCATTAACTTTAAGTAGCAATATTTTCTACAGCAATTATATTTAAACATAATTTATGAATGCCTCCATTTACCACAATATTTCAATCACCTTTTCTGTATTTTCTCCAATTCATGTGCTGCAGCAGCCTGTGTTTGGAATAAAATGAAAATGTATCATTTCTCAGAAGCGCTTGAAACTAATCTTTCACTTACTTTTATACTTCAAGTAAGGTTATAGCAGTTATGTCCGTAATGTTTTGCTGTCTGGTATGTCTTACTTCTCACAGATCAACTCTGATCCTAATAAAAAGTCTGTGCTTTTTAGGTGAAATGGCAAAAGACCAGCATATGAAAGAATGTTTTAACTGACTCCTCTGAAATAACCAGTTCATCAGATAAAACATAATTTCAACATGAAATAGTAATGATCTAGGTAGGTTGTAAAAGAGATTTTCAACACATCAAACAGCCAAGCACAAGCATATTTATTATTTACATGAATACAACTGGGGATCATTATATTAATAAAAATGAGAATATACAAATAAACTTCTTAAATACAAAAAATAGGCAATAAAGATCTACCTGCTCATTTGCCAGAGCCTGTAATTTCTGCATTTCAGCTTTTAATAAGAAATTCATATTCTGCATATCCTAGACCAATAAAACAGAGTTCCATATTAGAATATTTTATAGAACTGACCTGAAAGTTTATAAAGGCAGTTATTCTACATTAAAAGTTAAACCAGAAGGGTAGGGGAAAGCTAATAAGGGAAAAGAAAAAAATACGAGAAAATGAAAAAATGGGGATGAAGTCTTTGTAAAGGGGTAGGGAAGGAGGAGTGAAGGGAGGGCAGGGACAAGGGGAAAAGATGAGAACCAAGACCTGTCATGTAAAGGTACAAGATCCCAATAATGAATATAACTGTACTGTATACCTAAATGTACCAATCAACCCAATGAGGAAAAAACTAAATAAAGTTAAACCTAGGTCTCAAATTACAAATTCACTCAATCAGCAAGAAAAACGGTCAATTTAGCAATATTTCCTGATATTCAGCATGTTTCTCAAATTGGTGGGATTAACAGCATATGAGAAAAGCCCGCCGATTTTTTTTCCTCCTACAGAGCTAAAGAAGATTTTATAGTCTAGAAAACAGAAAGGCACTTTTCCAATGAGTTCTAAAGCATTTTCCATTCTTCATATGAAGCCTTATTGGTTATAGGGATCATGGTAATTCAGTATTGAGCCCTACAAAATATTGCAGCCATTTTTAAGACTTACTGACCTTAAGCTCCTCCTCTTTACTAGTCAGATGATCATGTTCACTTGCTAGGGAATCTTCAGTTTGCTTTATCTGCTTATCTTTTTCAGCAATCCTTTAAAAGGAAATAAATGTGTACGTATATTCAATGAAAATTTCTAAGTCACATTACAAGTCGAGGATTAAAAACCTGAAATAGGGTCATCTTTAAGTAGTTTCTCATATCATAATACCTTCCCTTTCTAGTCTCTTTTCAGTTTACTAGTAACTGTCTTATAATTACTGTAACTCCTTAACATGTAATATCCCTAATGTTAAAACTCACACCCAAATAAGTTAATCTGTGAATGTTCACAAGTCTGCAAATGTTTCTGGTCTTCTGAACTCAAGTAACCCATATCTATGGAAAATTATGCAAAACGAAACACAGAACTTTGAGTATATTACCTCATACCTAGATCCAGAGTAGCTACTACAGATTAGACACAAAAATTAATTTGTTTCAATACTCTCAAAACATAATCACTTTTTCTACATAACCTCTAACACCCTAAGTGAAAAGCTTCACCCACTCATTTTATGATGAAGACATAAAAACAGAAAATGTAACGTTTAGGGACCCAAAACACAAGACAAAGTAAAAGAGTAAATAAAAGTTGCTCCAAATATAGTTTGCAGTGTTTTCCAAAAAGCAAAGAGTATAAAATTAATCCTTTATAGGTCTCTAAGACGTATCAGTTAGTGATGACTACACAATTGCAAGAGAAGTTGGAAAGGCAGGCTTACACTTTATGTAACTCTTCTGCTAGAACTGAAGCAGAGGTCTAAGAAAGAAAAACATCATCAACATGAAAGCATTTAAGAGGAAGTTTAAAAGGTGTACAAATAATCATTGCAAATGCTTTAAAAATCTAACAGAAATTAATGAATATAGTCTTTAACCAACGATAAGTGTTCAATACAGAGCAGCTATCATTTTGAAATCATGTCTGACCACATATCACAAGACATGTAGAATAAAACAATTTGAAAGGCTTGAAAACTACATAACTGACAAAGAACAAACAGGGGACGATAGTCACAATGGCCAAGTTTCATCACTATACTTCTCTTACCTAGCAGCAACTTTTCAATACGATCCACTTCATGATTAATTAAGGTAATCTGGCAATATTCATGTTCATCTTCTTTTTTAAAAGTATTCACAGCATTCTCTAAGTATTTAATTTCTGATAAACTTTCTAGAGCTACCTCTCAGTTGATAACTAAAGATCTCCATCCAATCTGAAGTGATAATTTGCAGACCCATACACACCTACAGCCCCCTTCCTTATGTTAAATAATTCTTCACTAATTTACTGTGGACTACAGTTTCTACAAAGAACAGAATTTTAAAAAATATGTTTATATGCTTTGGGAATTTAAACTTGTGTGAACCCTAAAAGTGAATTTTTAATGTTAAAACAATCTTTTACACAGAGAAGTCAAACTTCTAAGTGAATACTTTTTGCTATAAAAACAACATTTAGAATTTTAAAGTTGAGTTGAAACTAAAATCTATGGTATGTACAGTATGGAAATGTATTGGAAAGTTTCACTGTTTCCTTAATGTTATACCATTTATATTTTAAGGCCTCATTACCAATCAAGTATGACAGGACAATATTACCAAAAATAATATATCTTACAAACTTTCAAACACTTACCACTAACTACAGGGAAGTATAAATTTTTTTTGGTACCGGGGATCGAACTCAGGATCCTGTGCTTGCAAGGCAGGTGGCGGCACTACTGAGCTAAATCCCCCACCCCTAAAGTATAAATTTTAAACTGATTCTCTTGTGAATATATTCTGAGAGCTATGGTTAACACAACGCTATTACCTGTGGCTATATGAGGTTTTCCATGATTAGCCAGGAGTATAAAAATACCTTTAATACATAAACCTCTATCATAGACATTGTTTGTTAATTTCTCCCATTCTATGACAGGACTAGGGATGGGGCATATCTTCCTGGTAAAGAGTTTTCTAGCTCTCTTCCTTTCCATTTAGTTTGATTTTAATCTCATTAGCATTTTCTTACAGTACTGCATATATATCAGTGTTCAGCACTTGGGATCATCATGTTAATTCACTAACCAGTCTCCCAACTATTGGCCCAGTGTCAGCACAACAGGCACTCAGATAACTGCCTAAATGGCTTGCGAGCTATTATTTGTGACAAGCAAGAAGAAAACACTATTACCTGGGCAGCTATCTGGGAATGAAACTGTTGAATTTGTGCTTTCAAGGCCTCATTCTGCTCCAAAATATCCTTTCATAAGGAGTAAACAAAAAGAGAAAAAAAATGTGCTATGAAGAAATGTATGTGTATAAATATCACGACTTACAGGCTCTGTTTATCTTAAAAAAGGTATATTCTTAGATTCCAAAAGATATTATTTGAAATAAAGATTAGCATTCTATTCTGAGTTATTTTATAAGGCAGAAGTTAAAGAACGGTTTTACTGTTTCTAAACTACAAGGAGCCTAAAACTGTAGTTAAGCAGATCTTCAAACACTACATACTATGAATGTGCTCAAAGATTAAGTTGTAATGATTCACTAAAACTCCAGAATCAGGGTCAGGTATATGCTGCTGCTCTTTTAGGTACACATATCTGATTCTCTAATGTTTTAAAAGAAGGAAAAACAGATACCTGAACTTGCATTTGTAGAGACTCTTCTTTGTTTACCCTTTTTTGCTCTGATTCCATTAACTGCATTAATCTCTGCTCCAACTGTTGTTTCGAGACCAAGGTATCCGTAAGTTTACTATGCAGGCTCTGTACTTCATTTTCTTTGGACACAAATTTACCCTGTAAATCTGTAACAGAATACTATACTTTACAAAGGCCTCTTCCTCTGCCGAGTTCATCTTTAGCTCAGGCATTATCTCCTCTAGAAAGTTTCCCTGCATCTCTCCCAGTTTCCCTTCTTCACACTCACAACGGCCTGTGCTTGTGTTTATCTAGCACTTGCCACATCGCACTAATTCACCTTTGTCTTAAGAGTGAGCATTCTGAGATCAGAGACTGCCTTTTCTCTACACCTAGCTCTGACTCCAAGGCTTGGCACCAGCACATACTTAATAAATGTGCTAACTGAATGGCACAGGCAAAGTGTTAATCGTTTCTTTAAAGCAGTGGTGGTGAACCTATGGCACATGTTGCTTTTAAGACAAAAGATGGTGACGTATAAGTTGTTTTTTCTAAACTGAAACCTCAGTATTCAGATTTAATTGCAAACCAAAACCAAAATGAAACCAAACCAAACAAAACAAAACATTTAGCCTGGCGTGGTGGCACATGCCTGTAATCCCAGCACTCGGGAGGCTGAGGCAGGAGGATCGTTGTGAGTTTGAGATCAGCCTGGGCTACATCATGAGTTCCAGGTCAGTCCCAACTACATAGTGAGACCCTATGTCAAAAAACACTGAATTAATATCTTTACAATTCTGTGGCAGAAAAGATTGAAGAATACATTGGAAAATGGAAAGACATTCCCTGTTCCTAGACAAGTAGAATTATCATCACGGTAACAGCCATATCACCAAAAGCAATCTACTAATTTAAATTAAATTAAATTTTTATTAATGTAATTCTACACAGAACTGGAAAACACAATCCTAAAATTTATACGAAGCAGACAAGATCCAGAATAGCCAAAGTAATTCTGAACAAAAGGAGCAAAGTGGATGGAGGGCATTTTAATTCCAGATGTTAAATTATACTATGAAGCTACAGTAACAAAAACAGCAAGGTATGGGCACAAAAACAGACATATTGACCAATGGAACAGAAGACACAGAAATAAACCCATATACTTTCAGCCGTCTGATCTTTGACAAAGAAGTTAAAAACATATGCTGGAAAAAGCACAGCCTCTTTAACAAATGGCACTGGGAAAACTGGCTAACCATATGCAGAAGACTCAAACTGGACTCATTCCTCTCACCCTGTATGAATATGTTCTTATCACCTTGAAGCACGGGTGGTACATGCATGATGGTCCCATCAGGTTTGCTGCTGGTAGCACCAATCAATCTAACCACTTTATCAGTCATTTTACTAATAAAATTACTAAAATTCCGTGGTTGAAGCTGGTGGGAACATAACACATTCAAAGAAGAGCTGCCCGGCAACAAGACATACTGTATTTCCCTGAAAATAAGACCAGTCCTGTATTAAGTTTTTGCTCAAAAAGACACAATAGGGGCTGGGGATTTAGCTCAGCGGTTCGGTGGCCTGCCTTGCAAGCGCAAGTACCCGAGTCCAATCCCCGGTACCAAAAAACAAACAAATAAACAAACAAACAAGCAAAAGACACAATAGGCTTATTTTCAAAAGATGCCTTATTTTTTTCATGTACAACAAATACAATTATTCATGGATGGAAATCTGTATTTATTCCATGTTATCTTCCTCCAGAACATCCAAAGTCCTCCAAACCCGAATTCCAGCCTGAATTTCTTCCCACTCCATTTCCTAGGGAACCACTGGCCCCAGTCTCATTTCCAGCAAGAGACCGCCCCTTAAATACGCGTTTCCAGTCCGTGAAGCCGCTCGGAGTGCACTGGCAACACAGCTGACAATGACTTTAGACCATGGGTTCTTTACCCAAGCCACAACCTTCCGCAGGCTGGACTTCACCGAAGCTGCCACTAACCACGTGTTAAAAGAAAACTTACAGGACAAGAACGGCAACAAGAGGGACGGCCGTTAAGAATGATGGACCACAGGAAAGCAACAAAGAAATGCAGACACCAAAATTCAGAAAATGCTTACTTCACACGAGCACATTACTGTGTCCACTGTGACACAAGATGTACTGAATCATGCAGACTCATATTAGACAAACTGTGTCCATTATCAAGTGTGTACATTATGTGTATGTTGTGTCTGCTCTGACTGGGCATTCAGCAACAAGCCAAACTCATCTTTTATATGGGCGTTTACCACTTTTCCAAAAGTGCCTGCTCTACACATAATTTACACATAATTCTGATTCATGCTATCATTCGAGCATATTTAATTACTTTTTTTTAGAAATTCGGTATATCCTCTGTACTAAACGCATCCACCTGGCTGATGGTCTTTATTTTCAGGGTGAGGTTTACATTAAGTGTATCCTGAAAAACCACACTAGTGTTTATTTTCTGGCTAGGACTTACTTTGGAAGAAATACAGTACAAATTATGGCTCCTATCATGGATGTGTTAAAACAAAATAAATCACAGACTTAGGTATAAAATAGAAACACTGAAATTGAAGGAAGTTAAAGTAAGAAAAACACTTTAAAATATAGGTATAGGCAAGGATTTTCTCAACAAAACTCCAACAGCATAAGAAATTTACACTAAGAATCAACAAATGAGATTACTGTATATTAAATTATTAAAAATTCTACACAGCAAAGGAAACAATCAACACTGAAGAGAACCTTCAAAATGGGAAAACAATTTTGACAGCTACTCTTCTGCTAGAGGCCTGATAGTTAAAATATATAGAACTCAAAAAAAATGAGACCCACCCCAAGACAACCCAATTAGAAAATGGGGAAGTGAAATGAACAGACTCTTATCAAGAGCAGCAGCAAAAATGGCCAATAAGTACATGAAAAATTGTTCAACAACTTTAGTTATTAGAGAAATGCAAATCAATACTGACATTCTATCTTACTACTGAGAATGACTATTATCAAGAACACAACAAATAACAAATGGCAGTAAGGATGTGGGGGTGTAAAGAAAGCCTTCTATATTTTGGTTGTAATGTAAACTAATCAAATATTATAGAAAACAATATGGAGAGTCCTAAAAAAAAAAGTAAAAATTCTATTTGACCTAGACATTCCTTTCCTGGGCAGTTCCCTGAAAGAGTTAAAGACATACATAGAGACAGGGCACACCTATGCATACAGCAATTAAATTCACAATTGCTGAGCTATGGAAACAGCTTAGATGCCCAATCACAGACAAACGGATAAAGAAAATGTGCTATCCCATTACTTTATTATGTACTATAATTTTGCCTACAATTCAATGCTCAGGCAAAGCTGGCAGGAGAAACTCAAAATATAAAGAGCAAAATAAAAGATGCATAATGGAAAGATCTTTTTCAAATGAGAAGGGGATCGAAAAATGCAGGCAGGGGGTGGCTGGGCAGGGAAGGAGATGAAAAAAATAATTGAGATTTGTTTACATAAACATACCAACTCCCCACCAGGAATGTAATCATCGTGAATTTTAAACATGTACTCATAAAAAATTAACAAAAAACCTCATTTCTTATTTTAAAACCCTAAAAAAAGTCAAAGAAATAAAGGTAATATGAAAGGGTAAAAGTCATTCTTATGCACTATAACTAAAATGCCATACTGTACTTTCTTCACAGATGGAGAAGGGAAGAAATTTTACCCAAAATTACATCAGCATACATGAGCACCTGTCTCCTTTACCTTGCTGTGCTGCCTCGTGTTCTGCTGTTCTTTTCCTGATAAAGGCTTGAACTTCTTCCCACCTTCTCTCAGCTTCCTGGAGTTGAACCTTGATATTTAAAAAGGACACAAGGAAAAATCAGCACAAACAAAAAATTCTCAACTTTGAAAAAAGCATCCTCTACCTGTAGTGTTCTACCTTAAAAGTGCTTAATGCACTGGTCTCCAAATTTCAAGAAGACAGACAAATACAGAGTCTGACTGCCATTTAAGCCATCCTGACCTCCAAAAGATTAACGGAGAGATGATTTCAGAAATGCAGTATTGGTACTGTTCTTCAAGACAGCTACTACGTGTCAGGCCTGATCTGGCCACGACCTGGTTAATGAATATGTTGTTTCATTCAAAGCTACAGTTTTACCAGATACAAAAAGTCGCAGCCCTTGGCAAAAACACACCACTCCTTCGGGTGGCTGGAGACCAGATATAAGCCCTGTCATCTCTGCCGAGATGCAGGCTGTGCTTTCTCCAGGCAGAGAGAACACAGAATGGGATGTGACAGAAAAGAGATAAAACCACAAAGTACAGCACCATTCACCTGATAACACCTACACGTCGGCCTTGACTGCTGCATTGAAGAAAACTTCAAAGAAGGTCTCAAGTCTTTCAAGCCCCTTTATCATTTCACAGTCACAGTCTCAAGGTATGACTGTGTCCACGATCTACGTGGGAACGTCTACTTTAGTGAGGTTGCGCTCAAGCTTCACTAACCTGCATCTCCAACCAATTCCCTCTCAACAAAGGGAGTGTCTTACTCATTTTTCATTGCTGACAAATATCCAACACATAAAACTTAAAGGAGGAGAGTTCATTCTACCGAACCTTAGTTTATGCTTCGCTAGCTCCAATGGAAAGAGCACGGCAGACGGGCGTGGCGGAAGAAAAGCCGCTCGCCTCGTGGTGGAAAGGAAGCAGAAAGTGAAGGGAGGAGCCAGGAGAGGACATAACACCCTTCCACGCCACGCCCCAGGACCTGCCTCTTCCAACCAGACTTCACTTCCTAACAGGAAGTCAGCTAGAGAGGCCCCATAATTTAAATTCCAAAGTCTTGCCTCTTGAGGGGCATCTAGATATCAACCACAACAAGGAGGAGCAGTCAGTTCTCCTCACTCCACTCAATTGGCGTACAAGCCACGTGAGTGCATCCAGAGCCCAAACAAGATGAGAGAAATGAATCTGCTCCCCCTTCTGTCAGTCTGAGCCACCCTCTGTATCTCTTCACAGTACGACCATTTCACGGTAACAAGAGCCATTCTGGTATCTGAAGACAAAGTATTTTGTGCACCGTGACCTGAGTGCAAGCGACTGGGGCAATACTTAAATCTTACACTCCAGCAAAGGAAAACCCATCTGTTTCAGCGCTAGAAGAAAATAGGTTCTACTGGACTTACTGAGAAATTCAATTTAATGATGATAAAACACTGCAGGCAGCTAAGTTAGTTAGAAATATTGCAGACCCTCAGACAGGGCTGGCCCTCACAGAAGTCAATGCAGAAATAAGAACACTTCGCACAACTGTACATGCTTGGAAGGCCAGACTTCAGAGCAAAGGGAATTTACCATATCTACATACTATCTCTAGGGTCCAAACAGGCATCAATCACCTTGGGTGGGGAACCAAAACCTCCCTAGCCCACTCCCCTTCCTGGAGGTATCCTTATCTGTTCCACGTATCCTTCCTCTGTGACATGCTTCCCCATTTGATCCCTCTGTAATCAGTAACACCTAGGGATTATACTTGGAATCTTAATGGCTGACCATGATTTTGTCCCACCTCACCTCATGTTCGCCTCTCCTTCTGGTTTTGCTCTGTAATACTCCCTTGAGAAGTGAGGCTCGCGGGCAACCCACTTTATAAGTCCCCTCCTTTCTCTCTTAAAGAGAAGCTATCTTTCTCTCAAGGAATTCTTTCTCCTCTCAACCTCCGCTGTTCCTAGAATTCATTCTTTGATTTCAGAGAACAAGAACTTGGCATGTTGGCTGTCTACCATGGTGGGGTTACAATATCTCCCCTGTATCATTTGGAGGTCCATGTATCACGTGGCCTACATCAAAATGATACTAGAAGTAATTTTAGCTAAATGATTGTTGCCTGGTACACGGGCCCTAACCTCCATATAGAAAATGAAATTCTACCCCTTACACTGGTCAGTCAGCTAATTTCATTTCTCATACCCTCAGTCTTTAGCTTCAAATTCAAGCCTATATTCAATTATTTCATTAAGTCACACATTGCTATACGGGCAGAGCGAGGGTTCTTAATAAGCCTCAAACTATATTTCTCTAATTTATATACATCCTTAGGCCACAAATTAAATATCTACATTATTCACAAAGTGATAAATGAAAGTGGGGTGTATCACCTTCAACTGAGTAGCTGCCTGCTCAGCACTCTTCTTTTGGACTTCCTCCTGTTGGAGCTGCCCTGTTTTTTCAGTCAGCTCATGCACCAGCCTAGCACAATCCTGGCGCAGTTTATTTAGTTCTGCAGACTGCCTGAAAACAGTAACTGGATTAGGAACCGTCCATCACTACAGACACATATAAAGAGCAAATACAATACATTTTACTAAGTTTGCTGAGCTAGTAATTGCACTGTATACAAACAAAGTAGAACACAAATACTTATTTGGTGGAGTATAATTCCCAAATAATGCTAATGACAATTACACAAATTCTAAAACTGTTATAAACTATCAAGAAAAATGGATAACCACAAACTTGTGAGCCTAAGTATACAGTGTCACCCTCAAGTGATCTTTAAAATCAACCAGTCAGAATTCTTACTCTGTGCAAGGACAGTACAGGTCTCTAGGGTACTAGTCCTCAAAGAATGGCCTCAAAACCAACCATGCCTGGGGGCCGGGGATTTAGCTCAGTAGTGCCAGGTGCCTGCCTGGAGGACCCAAGTCCCATCCCCACCCCCACCCCACCAAAAACTAAAAACCAAAAACACCAACCACATCTATTCAGAGGAATGTGTCTCCATTCAGATTCCTGAGCTCCACCTTAGATCAGTGGATCGTAAAAATTTTAGGAAACAGGACTTAAGGATATTTTTTAAATTAGCATGCCAGGTGCTATACAGGATAATAAAGTCTGAGAATAAATGGTTCAAAACTTGCAAATTCAGTCTCATAAATCTGTAGACTTTTCCACTAGTGGCAGTAGTACATGATTTAATGTAATAAATACATAACATACGTACACAATAGCTTATATAGAGGTAATGCTCTTCAGAGAGCAAGAAAATTGTTTTTGAAAGGTAACTTGAGAAGCCCATATAAGAAAAGTCTAAACAACTGTTATAAGCAGTATTTTAATGATTTAAGAAAGTACTGGGCCACTTAATTGAAATGAAGGTGTAAGTATTTGCAAACGTACTTGCTCTCCAGTTGATTTGTGGCGCTGCTGACAGCATCTCTCAGGATCCCGTTTTCCTGCTTCAGGTGAGCTCTCTCTGCTTCCATCTGTTCACGGACTTGCTGAAACTATTTTACACACAGAAGATTTAGAAAACAGAGGCTGGCAGTGCTGCACTTTCTAAACATTTTGTTATGATGGGAATATTAAAAAACATCAATAGCATCAAATTTGAACTGCTCTTTTCAAATACATATAAACACATTTAAAGAGAGTTGCTTTTGTAGTATTGGGGATTAAACCTGGGGCTTCACACTTGCAACTGAGTTACACTCCAGACTTATTATTTTGAGATGATTTTGCCCAGGCTGGCTCTAAATTTGTAGGCAGAATCCTTCTGCCTGAGCTTCCTGAGTACCTATGATCACAGCCATGCATCCCCACACCTGGCTGAGAATTCTATTTTTGTTACTGAATCCAAAGTAAATACAAGGTGCAACAGCAGTCAAGAATACAAGTAAAAATTAGCTATTATCATACTGAAAATACAAAATAAACACACAAAGTTAAAAAATTAAATTGATTTAGAATTCCTACTCAACACTCTCACAGAATTAAGCCTGTTCTGATCCTGTAATATATCAGTTATGCGTAAAAAAATATTTTTAAATGGAAGTTTTTAGTGCCCTAAAGATTGAAACATGGAAATATATTCAATTTTATTATGTCACAAATTGAGCCATAATAAAATGGATGTCATAAAAACCTACTTCCTAAAACAGTATGACATATAGTTGTTTTTTAGGTAAATACATATAACAGGAAATGTACAATGTTAATAACTTTAAAATGTAAAGGGCAGTCATATTAAATATATACACACTATCTCGGTAAATCTTAAATTGATACTCTAGCCAGGCATGGTAGCACATGCCTGTAATCCCAGCACTCAAGAGGCTATGGCAGCAAGATCACTGTGAGTTCAAGGCAGGCATGAACTACATAGGAAGACTCTATGTAGGGTCTCAAAATAGAAACAGAAGGAGGAGGATGAGGAGAAGGAAGAAAAAGAGAAAGAGAAGAGGAAGAAGAGGAAGGAGAGGAGGAGGAAAAGAAAATGGAAAACTTCCCTTGCCCCTCTTCCTGGTCCCTGGAACACACCACTATAATATTTTTCTGATACTTAGTTTTTTAATTTCAAAATTATATAATCAGAAAAGAAGACTGAATCATATATTCACATAGGAACATGTCTTCAATACACAAAATTATTTTTATGAGAAATTAATAGGTATGGCATTCTAATAATTTAGTTAAGAAAAATATTCCTATTTTTCAGTAAATTTACAAAGAATCTATACTTTAACCTCTAAAAGTAATCGAGTAAAGAAAGTAAATCATTTAAATATCTTTCACCTTCAATAAAAGATGTTGCTAAAAGTATTTAATTTCAAATGAACAGCAAGCACTAATCACTGAAAACAGGAAAATCAATTCTTTAATAACTTGACTGAGGACAGTATCTATGATGGCTGCAGAATGGGTAGAGGAGTACGACAAAAGCTAGAGGCATCAGAAGACAGAGTAACAATGCAACAACAGGGTCACTTGCTTCCCTATGATCAGTAACATTTCAATAGAAAATACTGGCACATTCATAGCAGTAAAGAATAAAAATTTTATCAGACTACTGATAATGAAGAAACTAGTATTTTACAAAAAAAAGTTAGATATAAATTACAAGTTAGAATGGGAAAGAGAAACCTAGCAGAAAGGGGCTATAATTATACTGCCATGAAATAAACTAAGATATCTGAGAAATGAATGCAAGGTAACCTCAGAAACTATTTTTAAGATTCAGACCAATTTATGAACTAGAAAAGAGGGAGTGGGGAGAGAGGAAGGGGAGGGGGAGCAAAAGAGGAGAAGGAGAGAAAGAGGGAAGGAAGGGGAAGAGAGGGGGGAGGGAAAGGAATCAAAGAATTTAAGCAGAAGGAAAATAATGCTTTAAACTCCTGGAAGATAAAATAACCTGATGAAGACAGGAATTTGTTTTTAAGCAAGGTTATATCTAAGGTTATGACAGGCCTTCAAAGTGAAGCAAATGAAAATAACAATTTCAAAGAGTTACTGGTCCAGAGAAAGGGTCAATCAAGGGGAATATTGTAAGCCTACTTTGGTGAGCAAATCCAAACCACATTCTTCAACAGTCACTTATCAGCTAAGTGTGGTGGTACACAAATGTAATCCCAGCACTCTTGGAAACTAAGGCAGGAAGATCCCAAGTTTGAGCCCAACCTGGACCCAGTGACTTAGGAAGACCCTGTCTGAAAATTTTTTTTAAAAAGGCTGGGAATGTAGCTCAGGGCAAAGGCCTTAGGTTTAATCCCCAGTACACCATCCCCTCAAAAAGTCTCTTAGCAGTGACACGGGGCTGGGGAAGAAAGATGAGTCAGTGGTTCACAGCTAAGTACAATTATGAGGAAAACAAATGACACATGAAAAAAAAACAGTAAAAAATGAACCACCTGAAACACTCAAGAAAGACAGGTGAAAGTATGAACTAGCAAGTGACCCCGGAAGGGTCACTTAACCTGAAACTGTGAATGTCACTCACTAGCCCCTTTGTCCTCTAACACCAACTCCCACGTAACTCACTGTGGTGTGCTACTCAAAATCACCCTCTTACTCTCAACACTGACTTCAGGCCTTGCTCTCCCCAGAACTGGAACTGCTTCAAAAGCCTTCCGCTTGCCACTTGTTCCATTCTCCATGTGGGTGGCAGGAGTAATAACTAAAAGCATCAGGTGAGTCTCACTTCAGGCTTGCCTAAACCCCCTCACTGAGGCCCACAAGCCCACTGGAAACAGTGCACCTGTCCACTCCGGCAGCCCTTCCTTATTCATCCCAATTCTGGTTCCCACTTACCAAACTCTTCCCACACTTCTCCTAACCGTGAACACTAGACACCTGTACTGGATACACCGGCAGAGCACTCTTTCAAAACTGCAGTCCTAGGTCCCAAAAGAGACCCTGTGAGCACTAAAGAATCATGACAAGTTACTCTTCTACCCAGGGTCCATTTCTTATCCCAACTGACAAGTGATTTGGAAGATTAACACAATCTGCGTATCACACCAAGGAGTCTTCCCTGTCAGTCCTTCTCATGCCCACTTCCCATAAATGCAGTATTGACCTCCACCATCCTGGTGTCTTTACTTGTCTGCGTCCAGCCTAGCTACTTCATCCTCACCCAGAACATCTGTCTACCTAAGCCCAAAGAGTACAGCCACTCGCATGCCTATGACCTAGTACATGATCGCACAAAGCACTTAAAAGTTTGTTACATGAATGCACATATTTCATCTTATTTTCAAAGAATGAAACTATACCTTCATCTGCATCTGCTGAGTCTCTTGGTAACTGGCATGTATTTTGTTTTGAAATACATTATGTTCCTTTTCTAATGTTTCAATCCTATCTTTCATCCTTGCTATAACTACATTGCTTCTTTCTTTCTCTGTCATCATTTCCTAGAAAAGTAAACCAGAGAAGACATTATGGAAAATGTGTTATTAAAAAGGTGCTATGAGCTCATAACAATGAGAAAGCTTTTAACATCAGTAAAATGACTGTGAACACTGAAAAGGGTTTGCTTAGAAAGAGGAGTCAAAGGTTTTTCAAAAAAATCTTTGTCTCTTACCTGTTTTTCAGACCAATTCTCTTGATAAACACAATGCCACTTTGTTTACTTTTACTTCAAATATGCTTTCTGCTTTAAAATTTAAAGACTGAGCCTAGAATAAATCGAATATTCTAAAATGATTGTAATAACACTTTAAAGCGAAACAATTAGTTGTGGCTGGAGATTTAGCTCAGTGATGGCCACACCTGCCCTGCATGCACAAGGTCTCAAGTTCAATCCCTGGTACCAAAAAAAAAAAAAAAAAAAAAAATTAGCATTCCCAGGCACTAGTTTTCTTCTGGTATATAGAAAAATACCTGGGGGAACCACATGGAGGTGGGGGGTACTAAAGGAAGAAATAAGGCTATATAGATTATGGAAGTTTGAGATAAGGGAAAGTAAGTTTTATCATGAAACAAAAATACATGTAAGCAAACAACTTTAATGTTTTCTGCAAGTATAATGAACCCATGTTCCTGCTCTAAAAAGCTGTTGGACAAAATTTGAGATTTTTATATAATTTATGGTTGCCTTTAAATTATTTTATGTATTTTATTTATATTTGCAAGTTGTTCTGTAGATACGCATCTTAAATTTTAGGAACAGTGAATTATCAAAAAATAAAGTTAACCTATTTTTACATGATAATCACAAAAATACTACACTAAATTTAATAATTGTAAGGAAGCATATTTATAAGAACTCGGACTAACCAGGTGTTCCCACTGACTGTTTTTTACTTCAGATCACATAAAGGATTTCTATTCAGACAAAGGCATTTGCTTTTTGATGTCTTCCAACAGCTAGGTGAGAGAGTTATCAACTCATGTAGTTATTCCTTAAAAGGAATATTCCTGCAGTTATTCCTTAAAAGAAGAAACAAGTACTTCAGGAAGGAGACCATATTTTCTAGTTTCAATTCTGTTCTCTTGGTCTGCACATTTTACAGGTTTGTTTCTCCTCTCAGACTAGAATTTCTAGAGTTTTAAGAAATTGATTACAAAGTATTAATATTCACCACAAGAATCTCGAAATGCTTTTGATTTTGTTGCTGCTATTGTTTTACTTAGGCTCATGCCATGTTCTGAGTTAACCTTGAATTTACTGTGTAGCCCAGGCTGGTTCAGAATTCTCAATTCTCTTGCTTTGCCTCATAAGTGCTAGGAGTACAGCAATGTGCCACAATACCCAGCTAAAACAAGCTTATGTTTCTAAAAAACTACTTCTGTTTGCTATTCTCAAAATAGGACACATAATATGTACTGTTACTTTAAATCCATAATTCACTATGGGTATGATATGAGAGAGTGAGATACTTCCCTCCAAAAGTTGTAAAATAAAATTCCCTGTGTTGGGTAAATTTATTATACAAGTAATTAAGTGAAGGCACATGAGCAGTTTTTAAACCCTTCACTGATTCTAATTTGAGGCACATCCCTTGAGCATAAAAATACTTCACCTGGGTGAGCTGCTTACACCTCTCCTTCACAGCAGCAGCCCCTTCCCTCACAGCGGCAAGCAATTTGTCCTTTTCCTGAAGCTGATGCTGAAGTGCGGTCAGTTCTCCTTTATTTGACTACAATCAAGAAATGAGTGCAGAATCAGTAAAAGTTAACGGAATGGAACATCCGTCATCAAGTGTTCCTGGGCCAAAGCAGAGCTCTATGTAACATAACGTAAAATGACTGCCAAAAACTGCTCAGTGAAATAACATTGTATAGTCACTGTATAAATTCCAACAGGATAAAAGTCAATCAAGACGGATTTTTTGTTTTGTTTTGTGTTTGGTTTTACTGGTGCTGGGGATGGAACTCAGGGCCTTGTGCTTGTGAAGCAGGTGTGGTGCCCCTGAGCTAAATCCCTGGCCTGCGAAGCAGATTTTTGCAAAGAATGAATACAACTTCTAGTTAAACCCAGAGTAAAACTAGTAATTTCTTTTCTCTTTTTTTCAAAATCAAAAAATAGAATATAAAACCAAAAGGCAGGGCCTGGAATTTAGCTCAGTGGTTCTGCCACCTGCTTTGCAAGCGCAAGGCCTCAAGTTTGATCCCTGGTACCACAAAAACAAAACAATAAAAAAACCCAAAAGGCAATTTACTACCAATGAAACAGTTCTTTATAACTCCAAATATAATTATCAGAAAAGATTAGACAAAAGTAATGCAGAGTAAATACAGGTGTTCAGTCATGCTGCCCAATCATGTCCAGACCAACGGAGGAGCAACGCGTGCACACAGTAGTTCCCTAAATTCAACAGGCACAAGCTGGTAGTTCTCTAATTTTTGTTTTGTTTTGTTTTGTTTTTTTGAGACAGGGTCTCACTATGTAGGTGAGACTGACCAAGAACTCAGTATGTAGCCCAGGCTGGTCTCGAACTCACAGCAATCCTCCTGTCTCAGCCTCCCGAGTGCTGGGATTAAAGTCGTGTGCCACCACGCGTGGCTCTAGTTCTCTAAATTTAATACACACAGCTGAAAGGAAAAACCAATCAGCACCCATCCCACAAGAAGAACAAGTATTGCTTCAAAGCAGTAACCTTCTTGGTAGGAAACAGAAGGAGGAAAAAGAAAAAAAAAAAACAAAAAAAAGCAAATTATCCACAGTGAGCAACTAGCCAGGGAGGCAGTGGTCAGAGACTTCCTGTACTAAGGTTCCAGTCTGTTCCAAACGAAGAGACAAAGACCAAAAGGCCACATTTTGTACCCACATCTCAGGGTGAGCACCAGCTCTTCACCACTGTCAACCTCCAGTCCAGAGATTATCCAAAGGGCACAAAAATATACATGCACTTGAAAAGGAAAATAGTATAAATTACAAGTCAAGAAAAAGATTGTCAGAGAACAGACAAAAATCCTAATAAAATCATCACCATGATTTTTAAAAATGTAATCTAGAAAGTCATTTCTGGAAAACAAAAGCAAAGAGCAGAGCTCATAAGAAAAAGCTGAGAAAAGGTAACACCACAAAATGATGGAAGCAAAATGGTAAAACTCATGGTGGAAGTAAAAAGTGACACTGTGCCAGAAATAACCTAATTAGAAGCAAAAATCAGAAATGGACATGGTCCTGAAACAGTAAGGGTAGAACAGGACAGTAAAATGGCAGCAGAAAATACAAAACAGAAATAAAGTTTTCTTTGGTTAAGTATTATTTTTGAAGCATGAAAATATGAAAGGTAAGGAAGACAGCCCAATACAGGTTTAACCTGACACAAATAACCTGGGTTATTCCAAGAACATACAAAACTCTCTAGTAATAAATGCTGACTTGAATCTAATGACTGAAAAGTGTGCTTTATCAAAGAGAAAACTGCTAAGGGTCAATGTCATGCCACATTATAGTAAAATTATTGGCAAATTTTAAAGAAACTCCGTCCTCTGATGTATACACAGTACTGCAGATAGGAAAACTCAACAAAAAATATACTTGAATGCCCTAAGAATATTTTAGGGCAGCGGTGGCAAACCTATGGCATGTTTACCACAGCAAGCAAACAGAGAGGAGAACCTCCAGGCCCCCATGCAAGCCAAGTCATCCCAGCAGCCAAGCCCTGAATAAACAGTGTACACAGGGGCCATGTCATGCTCAAAAAGGAGTAGTGGTACCAGTCAATGATGTAATGAACCACGACTCATTAACCATGATGTGTTGAGCTTTCACATGGCCAGTGTGCTGCCATCCATGTGTATTTATGTATTTGCTTGGACTGGCTGTGATTTTAGCAGAAGCCCCCACAAGGTAGGAAATTAATGCAGATGCCTTTTTCAGAGCAGGCCTATAGCTGGTAGACCATGAAACACTGTCCTCTTGCACTAATGGTCAGTGAACTCCAGCTGAAAATCACCACCATAGACTGATGATTCAGGGAATATCCAATTCTTTAGTGTTAACTAATAATGCTAGCTATTTTTAGTATTGGGATAGATTTGTATTGGGTGCTTCATTTTTTTAAAAAAATTGTGTTTAGACTACAAGTTTTGAACACCAAAAAATGACCACAGCAAAAAGAGCAAAACTGAACACAGGTAGTGGACGATCACTCCAAGAGATCCGGACACAGTCATCTGGAGTGACTGAACACAGTGGGAAAGTGTTCCGCATTCTGTCCAGGGAAGTGTTGTGAGTCACCATCCACCACGTGTCAGACAGCATGTTGACACCAACCGTAAAAGTGCTGCCAAACTTGGTGAAACTGAAAGGAAGGAGTTTCTTGAAGGGGAATTGAGGAAATTATCATTCCCAGGGTCTTAGTTTTTTTCAACTATCTTTCTAAAACAAATCATCTGATAGCTGTCAGCTTTCAAATTTTCAGTGTGCACAGTAATCCCCTCTCTAATGGGGATTTTATCAAAATAGCCACGTTGTTTTTTCCTTTTTTCTGTTTTTGGGTACTGGAGATCGAATTCATGACCTTACGCTTGTGAGGCAGGGGGCAGAACCACAGAGCTAAACCCTGGCCCCAATGATATAAACTCTGCTTTTTCTAAACTAAAACCTCAGTATTCAGGTTTAATGACACTGTTGGCACTTTGCATAAATAAGTGGGTTTGGGGTCGTAGTTTGGGCACTCGGTCTCTAAAAGGTTTAGGGGCTTGACTAGCATGCATGAAGCTCTAGTTCAATCCCTAGTACTCTCAAAACAACAAAAATGTTTTTATTATAAAAGTGCAGTCTGAGAGATATACATGAAAAAAGTACAAAATTTACACTGGCTTCAGACCTCTGCTCAGCAATATGAACACACAGAATAATAAAACAACAAATGCCTTCATCTTATATGAAAGAGAACAAAACATGATAAAATAAAGTCTATGCCTTTTTAAAAGGAAAATAGTATTAACTATCATTCAAGAATAAAGACAAAGAAGAAGTATCATAACTTGACAAAATTTTGGAACTATAAAAACCATGAGATCTTATTGAAGAGATTCAAGGAAAAACAGCTTTAGCCAACCAAGAAAAGAAAAAGCAGCTATGGCAAAGAACTGCTATCAAGCTTTCAACCCATCATTAAACTATAGAATTAAGGCTAAAACAAGCATGAGAATTATACTCACAGAACAGATATTATAGCATCTGACAAACAGAAATACTATAATAAAAACAGAGTTAAGGAAGAAGGAAGGTAGAGAAAAAATTAGCATAACCAGTAGTCCACCATAAAGTTTAAAACTTTAAAGTTTAAAAGAATCATATAATTGAGGCAAATATACTCAAATACCAGTGCTTAAAAACTTAGTAATAAACATTTTCTTACTGATCCCTACACTAACAACAAGCATTTACTGTATGCTGGAACTCTAAGTACCTAAAATGCATTATCTCATTTAATTCTCAAAGCCTGATTATCATTCTCATTTTAGAAATAGGGAAACAGAGGCACTAAAGTTAAGGAACTTATCCAGAGTTACAAACTCAAAGTGGCAGAGCCCAGATTTTAATTCAAAAAACCCTGACACTAAAATCCAGGTCTTAAACCTACATTCCCCATATAAAACACTGTCTTCTAACTTATACACAAGGACTTGTGAACATAAATAGCATAATAGCTCATCTATAATTCTGCAACCCCTCAACTTTTCCTCTGCCTTTCTCTTCCCAACTAAGTTCACACTAAGTGCATGCTCACGGTCACCCCTCTTGTTCATTCACTTATTTACAGTCTAGTTATGAAATAAAACTGCCTTCTCTAAGAATGCCAAAGCCCGTTCTTCAAGTTTTACCTTCCATTTCCTCTTTGGAGTGTGTGACACTGCTGGCTCTCCCCAGTCCCTGGACTGTATCCTGCTTAAGTTCTAGGATTTCATAGGCCCTGACACTTCTACTTCTGCTCCTTTTCAGTGTCCTCTATGATGACTTTCCTTGAACTTTAAACACTGGTGCTTCCAGGACTTGTTCTCAAGCTTTCATTTCCCACACCCATAGGTACTGGTGACAGCAGATAACACTTCCAAATCACTGCCCTTGTAAACCTTCTTCAACTCCAGAAAAATATACATTTAACTGTAAAATGATAACATCCACTTAACTGGCACATGGGATGCCTAAAGCAACTTTCTAAATTTCCATGTTTTACTTTCTCTTCCTCTACAAAGTGTGCACAAATACCAATGCTGCCACAATCTATCCAGTTACTAAAAAAACATCGCCATGCTAGACTTCTGTTAGCCACTGTAGTAGTTAACTGGTTAGCAAGTCCCATAACTACTGTCATATTTTCCCCCTTAGTCTCAAGTGGTCTGAACTATGTATGAGGGTCCATTTCCATCTAAGACTTTGAAATCTATTAAAAAGTAAGTATCTATGGCAGCAAAAGGGAGAAACTAGTATTTCTCAGATACAAGAAATGTATAAGAAGAGGCCAGGGATTTAGTTCAGGGGCACTGCACCTGCCTCACAAACATTAGGTCCTGAGTTTGATTCCCGGTACCAGAAAGACAAAACAAACAAACAAACAAACAAACTTATAAGCACAAAGTCTCTCTAATAGAGAACAGAAACACCCAGGAGTAATCGTGAACAAGAAATTTTAACCAAAATTCAAACTTGGGGGGTGGGGGAGCAAGGAAGAGACACAACCCAATGTGAACATTTTCAAAACACCTGCCCTGCATCAAATGTTATCATTAACAAGTTCCTGACTTTTTTGTAGAACTACCTGAAACAGAAATCAATGGTAGTCTCCACCCAATCTTTGGAGTTCAAAGCTGTCTTGAACAATAAAACCATTACTCTTACTCTCATAAGCCACCAGTAACATAGTTGTAATGAACTGCTAAGTTGTAATGAATGTGATAATTTCACCTGGAAGCGTTCTCCTGCAAGGATCTTTTCCCAGTCCCCCCAAATAACTTAAGAACTCTTTAGAAAGGTATTCATAATTATAAAAAGTGAACCAAAGGATAAACACTTCAATCAAAAACATCAAGAAAGTTCCTTACAACATAACAATCTGATATTGTATTCAAAATCAGAGTTACATTTACTGATTGCCCTTGAACTTGTTAACTCTGAGCCATCACTGGCAACACACAGAGGCAGTCTAGCCAGAAGACCATACTGTAAAAATGCCACAGACTTGTAAGATGCACTGCTGATAAGATATGTGGAAGTACAGACAGACATATAATGCTACAATCAATGCTATGAAAAAAGTCCACAGAGTTATGAGAGAAAGTAACAGGAAGAATTTACACTACCAATTCAGGTTAGGCTTATATGAGAAAATGATATTCAAGGAAAGAGGAAAGAGGCACAGGAAGAAAGTGGGTAAGTAGGGAGACAGAAGAAAAACAGTTTGGTAGCTAGAAGCAGAGAACTATGCAGGTTCTGAACACTACAGGTGAAAAGTAGTAAAGGGGAATATTTCATCAAAAGAGGTGTAGAGAAAAGTAATCATAGGCCTATTAAGGAATTCAGATTATGCACTGTGTGAAGAGAAAATCACAACAAGTTTTTTACAACAGTTTTGAATATTGTAATCTGATTCACCTTTTAAAGATCATTTTCAGTTATGCGGGGAAAACAGATTAAAGGGCCAAGGGGAAAGGAAAAACATCGGGGAAGAGGCAATGACTCAGACAGGAGTGGTCTTTATTACTTAGAAAAATTACACCACTCAAGGTTTAAAACAGCTGAGTGGGTGGGGTGTCCATGAGTGTACAGCATGTCTTAAGAACAAGGAGAGCCACCATCATGATACTGAATATCAGATTCAATGTCACCTTACAAAGGCAAAATTTGAAAACTTCTCACTTTTCCCAATATGACACAGCACACGTATCACTACGAGAATAAAGTTAACAACGTGTTTTTGGTTTTGTTTTGACGCGTTTTCTTTTATAAACTTTTTCTCAGCTTATTGACTCTGCTACCCAAATCTTTATTTTTAACTATTTAACAGTTTATCCTGAGTGTTACTCGGGCAGCACTTTTGCTTACCAGCATTGCTTGGGCAGGTGTTGAATGTTTTAAGAGAAACCATACACAGAAAAATTATCAAATAAATTTGATATAATTGGTTGTTTCTGTGTTTCCTGTTATATTATCTTATAAAATTAGCCAAAAGGTACAATATTTGGTCAACCTGTATTTAAATATTTGGACTGGTAAGTGGTTAAAGGGAAGTATCACATATACTCAAGCTTACATATTCTAAATAACAGAAGTTCTTAGGTTCTTTAAATGTGGGATTACAAAAATATTCCATATACCCTTATCCAGAAATTGTATGACCTTGACTTCAAAACTTCTAGTCAGACCAAAGTATGGTACAGCTTAGTCAAGTGCCAAATGACTTTAAAGTTTAAAAATTATCTTACTTTTTAATTCTATTTTATTTTATTATTTTATGTTTTTGGTACCAGGGATCAAACTTGCGACCTTGCACTCACAAGGCAGGCAGTGGCACCACTGAGCTAAATCCCTGGCTCTATCTTACTTAGTTTAAGCAACTGGCTTTTGTCAAAGCATCAGATGATCTAAAAAATGCTTGACTAAGTATGAATATATGAAATACTTCTGAAGGCACTCCAAAACTTTTAGACATGATTATGTGGTTTTATATTAAGAACAAGACAGCAATTAATTGCTCTGGTAGAAGTCTTATTTGATTAACTTCTAATTATTGCTTACAAAATATGCCCATAATAAAAAAAAAAAATATATATATATATATATATATGCTTACCTTCTTCAAAACCTCTTGTATCACACCAGACTTTTCCTTCAGTAGGTCTACAACACAAAGGGCCTCATCTTCAGAAAACATAATGGTCTTCAAGGACAGAAGAAAATCTTTAAATTTCACTTCAGCATTTTCTTAATTAAAAAGAAAAGGAGTTGGCATTTAGAAGGCACAACTAATAACTTTAGGAAAGATAAGCAATAAGAATTCATTGCCTAGAAAGTCAACTACCAAGAGAAAATATTTACACTTCTGCTCAAATAACAAATGTTCCACTCAAGAGGGGAAAAATGTTTATCATCTATATTATGGAATAATTACATTACCTAGAAGTTTGTAGAGTACTAAAATTTACAGTATTCCTTCACCTATTAAAAAGATATCATTTGAGCTGGGGATCGCTCAGTGGTTCCACCACCTGCCTCAAGAGCACAAAGTCCCAAGTTTGATCCTCGGTACAAAAAAAAAAAAAAAAAAAAAAGATATCATTTAATTATCTACAATATGCTACTTTCTACTCTGAATAGATTCATGATATCCTTTTAATCCTGAGACATACATACATCAAATTCTATAGAAGGGAAAATAATCTCTAAGATAAATAAAAATAAAATCTGATTCTGCAAAGAACAAATACATACCAGTGTGGTTAAGGTAGACTGTCAACTTGATTGGATTGGAAGCTACCCAGGGAATCAGCAACACACTTTTGGGTGTGCTTGGGTAGGACATGGAAGCTTGATCATGGGGTCTGCAATCGTGCCTCACCCCTACCCTCTGACACCATTCCTCTTGCTTTGCCACATCTTTCTACCATGTTTCCCTCTTGGTGCCAGCAGACCATGGATTGAATCCATGAAACCAGGAGCCAAACTAAACCTCTTCTCCTTTAAGTTGTGGGTTTTGGGTACTATTTCCCAGAGAAAGCAAAGCTAATACAATATGCAAACCTGACATTAAAACAATTCATGAAGTAAATGCCTCTTGATTCACCAACCAAATTCTCCCAGGGACCCCATATTAGGCATAAAATGCCCTTTTCTAAAAGAACTGTTATCCATTAGACCAAAAGAGCATTAAGTTTTTAATACTTCAACTACATTCTAAGTTTTTTATGCAGGTATGTGAATGTGTGGGGTAAGAGGCACATGAGAACTCTCTACTTCTACACTCCATTGTGCCATGAACATAACCTAAAAATGCACTACCTAACAGTCTATTTAAAAAAAACAAACAAACAACAACAAAACAACAAAATCAGCAGTTGTGAATTCGCCTAAAATCTCATAGGAGATAACAGTATCAAGGAAAAGACTGCCAAAATAGCTGTAGCACCTCAAGCAAGTCAAATTCCAATGGTCAGGTCAACAAAATTAAGAAGAATGGACTAGAAGACTACCAAGCCTTTTACCAGAAGAATTAACTCTTTTGCAAAGTGTACGTGACTCCATGAGAACTCAAAATGTGCTTTTACAATATAACATTCTGCGTATTACCTTTGTCAGCTTCCATCTTCAGTTTTTTAGACCCAGATTTCTGGATCCCTTCTACTTGGTCAGGTTTCATGAGATCAATAACTTCTCTCTTATCCACCACAAGACTTGAGTTAGCATTATCCATCAAAGGAATGTAAGTACTTGCATGAATAAGGGGTTCATCTACCAAGACTGCAATTTAAGTTCAACAAAATCATAAATTACTTCGAATTTTGAAAAAAAAGAATTCAACATGTAAGCACACTTTAGTGATAAATGCATTTATTTCCTAATCTCCAGTATTAGTTCAGCTTGATTTTAAATTTCTACTTCTTTTTTTTTTTTTTTTTTTTTTTTTTTTTTTTTTTGGTACCTGGGATTGAACTCGGGTCCTTGCGCTTGCAAGGCAGGCCACCAAACTGCTGAGCTAAATCCCTGGCCCGTTTCCTACTTCATTTAACAAGGCAGAAACTTTTTATTTGAAATCACCAATTCAATATTACTATTTTATAGCAAACCATTTAAGTCATCTAAAACTGGGCAATATAGCTGCTTTAACAGTTATCTATAAATTTCTTAGAAATCCTTTCAATAGCTCATTTAATTTTTTTGCTTTAACAGAAAAGTCTAGTCACTTTCATTAGTGCTTACAGAAACAATTTTTATTCATGTTGATATTTTACTGAATTCTTATTGTAACTGATAATTTTTAATTAAGTCTATATAACATGCTGAGTAAAAAAAATCAGTCACTGTTCCTTTGCATATGTTTTCTCAATTCTAATAGTTATGGCTCTAACTTCATTAGCACATCTTACTTTCCTTACCAAAACTTGCAGAATGACATTTAAAAGTGGAGGAAGAAAGCCTCCTTATTATGTTCCTATTTGCGGTGGGTGGGGTGGAGTACAGGGTTCAAACTTGAGTCCTTGCGCTTGCAAGGCAGGCAGCAGAACCACTGAACTAAATCTCCGCCTATGTTCCAAATTGTAATGTAAAGAACTCAAGAGCTCTGAGGTCTGCTGGTAAGAGATACAAACTTTTACACAGATGAAAATCTCTGCATATTCTACCTTTAAAAAAATAATTTTTGTGCACATGTAATTCCCTTACTTAAAACATTATATTTAAGTTTATCAGGTATATTCAGGTAATATTCCACTCATACCTGATGCTTGATATGTCATAAAATGCAAATAAAATTTCATCTTTTCCCTTTCTAAATTTACTACTTTCTAGTACTAGTTGATATCACAGCCCAATATTATTTGGAAATTGCTAACATTTAATCTACATAAACTTTATACCCTGAAAAATTCTGAAAGTATAATGCTGCTGTGTCACTTTTATTTGTATGCTGGAATAAACATATGCAAATTGTTTAAAAAATAATAGGAAATGAAGGGCAACACTGCATCTAGCAAATGTCTTCAGGCATAATCTTAAGAGATACAAAAAGTACAAGTACTTTAGGAACGTTCTTCTTCATAGAGTTTGTACGCTATTTTTTTTTCAAAGCCAACAATGAAAATAGAGACAAATGTGTTGCCATTTTTAAACTTCAGACAGCCAGGCATGATGGCAAATGCTTGTAATCCCAGCACTGGATTATACTGGGGAGGATGAAGCAGAAGGACCACTGCAAATTCCAGGTTAGCCTGAGCTACATAGTAAGTTCAAGGCCAAAAAATTAAAATTTTTTTTTCAATTCAGATAAATATTTTCATCCCATACTTACACTCAGTCTACCTATCAAAGCAATGTAAAGCCACAAGGCTAAAAAGTATTTTAGACTTAGATTAGAATTACGGTTGTTACAGCACACATTAAACTGGTAATTAAAAAGCACATGATGTCCAGGGTCTCTATCCTATTACTTCTCTAGAATTAGCATTTATAAAACACATATCTACACATGTCACCATTGACTGTCTTCTGTTTCTTTGATGAAACTTTCTTTTTTCCTGATCCACTTTCGTGTTTAGTCACTTGGTGGAAGGGTAGTACTTCTTGTTTTTTCACTGGTGCAATCAGAGTCTCCACTTTTTTATCTTGGTCATCTTTATTGACTACAAATGAAAAGAAAATCATTGTACCAAACAATGAACACATCAGAAAAGATACAATTAGTAATGAATAATTTCCAGAATGCTTTACCACTAAAATCTTTTTGGCTTTCTCACCAGCAAGTATCCATGCTAGCTTTCCTACTCCACTACATCTGCTCTTCAAAGTATCTGCCCCCGAGTCCCCTAATCCAGAGCCATTCCCAGCCCTACTTAGCCTGTGGCACAGTGAAGTCTTACCAGTTTAAAAAATAAGCCACTTCCTTACCACTGTATTCCCAATCTCCCCCACCTACTTCCTGCTATACTGACAAAATAATAAGCTTACTTCCTTTTCTAACTATCATTTTGCAACTAGTGGCAATGTGATTTTTCTCTCTCCCAGTCCATGAAAGGATTAACTCAGGTGCCTGGTGTCCCAAAAATCATACTCTACAAATATTATCTGTTAATCCACATTTAACTACTCCTTAGAATTTTATCCTGTTGGTTTTCACCTTCAAAAGTCTCCTTTAGGATAAGTGAAAAAAAACCTGTCAAAAATGCACAAATATTATATGATTCCACTTATACGAATTTCCCAGCATAGTTGGACTCATAAAGACAGAATGGTGGTTGCCATAAGCTGGGAACACGGAAATAAGTTTTCTGTTTTTTGGTGTTTAATACGTACAGTGATAGAATTCTGGGGATGCCTGGTAGTGATTATGTAAAAATGTGAATGTACTTCACACCACAGAACTGTGTACTTAAAAACAGTAGATTTTATGCTACACGTATTTTACCACAATAAAAAGTCTGCCAGCTCCCATAATTCTCTTACATCACAGTACTTTTGGTAGCCTCCATTATTAGCTGCTTCCACTGAATGCCTCATGTACTTCTATTCCTTGGATGACCTTCAAGTATCACCCTCAAGGCTTCTGAACATGACATACACCATTCACTCTCTGTACTTACAAACCCTATTGTACCATGAATTGCTCTCTTATGTAAATGGCCCCCATAAACACCTGAAACACATTATCTCCATTCATATTGTCCCTCCAATATTCTGGGGTTTGTTTATGGTATTTTTTGGGGGGTGGGGTTACCGGGGATTGAATTCAGGACCTTGCACTTACGAGGCAGGCAGTGGAACCATTAAGCTAAATTCCTAGCCCTCCAATATTCTGTATCTTTATGTTAACAACCATATAACAATCAATTCCTGTCAAGGCCAAATAGTAATTCTATCACAACTACTCAAGTCTGCCACTGCAGTTGAAAGCTAGATGTAGGTAAACAAATGATTGGCTGTGTTCAGAACTCTCTTTATGGACACTGATGTTTGATTCATAATTTTCACAAAATATTCTTTTGGGGTTTTTTCCCAACCATTTAAAATACAAAAACTATTCTTTGCTCACAGGGCCTACAACACAGGAGGAAGAACAGATGTAACTTACAGGTTGCAGCCTATACACCCTGACCTAACTTAGATGTTGGAAGACTGGTTTTGAACCTATCTTCTCCTTTTCTCCCTTTCCCCTATGTAAGGTCAGTCATATTATTCTTACTTTGTACACCTCTTTACTTTCTAGTTCTCTCATCGCCACAGTTCTGGTCTGCAACTTAACTTTAGAAAACTATAGTAACCTTTTAAATAGTCTACTTCAAATACTGCTCCATGAAATTCATCCTCAAAGTTCTTCCAAAGAAATCTTTCTACCTATTATGTAAAGGTACAGAATCCCAATGATGAATGTAATTGTATTGTATACCTAGATTGTACCAATAACCACAATAAAAAGAAAAAATAAAAAAGAAATCTTTCTAAAATACAACATAAAACTAACTATACAACTAATGTGCTTGAAAATCTTTAACAATGGCTAATCTACAAGGTCCCAGGTCCTGGGATGGTGCACAAAAGCTTATTTTGTTCTCTACCTCATATTTCATGGCTCCATGATACAGTGCAATCTTGTACTTCTGTACCTTACATATGATTTTCTGTCAGTGTGGGATGAGATCCCTCATTTGTATGAAGAAATTCAGTCTTCAAGACTGAACTTAGGCACTGCTTCCTCTGTAAAAGCCTTTCATTTCCCAGTCCCCATGAGTTTGCTTTGGCTTCTATATTTCTTCTAGACTTTGTTATTTTTTTCTATATATTTCCTACATAACACACATTTTTACTACTTTACATATCCTCTCTCCTTAAAACATGTAGTACTTACTCTATTTCTCTAGTACCATGCTTGGTCACAGCTAGCAAGCACATAGTATAAATCCAATGTAAACAAATCAGCACTCTGTATGTTGAGATGGACAAACATGAGTCCTTTCATCCAAAGCAAACTGCTGTAGTCACACGTCACATGTTTTGCCACTTCTCAAGTCCTCGTTACTGCACAGTACGGGGATTGGTTGCAGAACCCGTCCCCTGCACCAAAATCCACAGATGTTCCTGTCCCACTCAAAATGGTGTGGCATTTACATGTAACTACACACATCCTTTCATTTACTTTAAATCATGTGTACACTACTCATGATACCTAATACAATGTAAATGATATACTAAGTGTAATAATGAATTATTTACAGAATAATGGCAAGAAAAAAGTCTGTACATTTTCAATACAAACACAATTTTATTGAATATTTGTAATCCACAGTTTGGTTGAATGCAAGGATATGGAATCGATGCATTTAGAGGACTGACTAGACCTATAAACCTCTCTCCCTTCAATATCCTATCCCATCCCTCCCTATACACCCAAGAAACACAGTTGACACCTATTTAAACTTTAATTTTTAGAATTATATGTCTGAATGACCTGCCTAGGAACTCCTATAATGATTTAGACATACCTAGATGATGCTAAACTTTTAAAATTATAATGACCTCTTTTTGTGTGCATCTACAGCTAACTGTAGACTACCCTGAAAATGCACTACCACCTCTGCAGCTCTGGTATCGGGCACAATGCCTAGTATAACAGACTGATAAATGCTTGCAAAATTAACCAAGGGTTACAAAATGTCTTACTCAGTTTTAATTCTTATCACATTGATTAGAAAATATTAGCTTAAACAAATGCAGAAGTTTCTAACTACTACGCACTAGAAATCCTTAGAAGTTTTAGGAAAATGACCAAAGATTTCCATTAAAGGTCTTTCCCATATTTATAATATAAAGTTTACAATGCAGATTTATAGAGCCACTACTCATTCCTGTTAGCAATCAATGTCAATGAAAGCAAACACACAGCAAAAACAATAATCTTGGCTTCAGACTCAACACAAATATGATATAATAAATCACAATACCGCTTCCATTTTTAGCCTTCTTCTGCCCTGGTTTCTTCTTTGAGATGGCTGCTTCAGCGGGTGGGGTGGGCTGTTTTGTAATTGGGACAGGTTCTACTTTTTTGCCAGGAATCTTCGATATATCACTTTTTTTGATGACCTGCTCTTCAAGTAAAGGTTTTTGTTTATTTTCCTTCTTCTTTCTTTCCCTCACACTACTTGAGGTTTCAGCTACATTCAATGCAACAGGTACAACTTGCTCATCTTCTATAGCCAAAGCATCAGATAATTTAAAGTCTCGAGGCACACTTTCAGAATCTGATTCGTGCAGGTTCCCATTCTGGATTTCTTTCTTTTTATTCTTTTTCTTTTCTGCCTTCTTTTTATCTGTTTTTGTAGGAACGAGCTTTTGTTCTCTTTTGTGCTTTGCAAGAACTTCATCATATAATGTTTCTTTCATGAAAAGCCAGAAGAAGAGGAAAATTACTGTTATAACTACTGAAGGAATAAGGACAACAAAATATGTTGACTCATAAAACTCCATGGTGCTTTTGTTACTGTGAACCTATGAAAACCTAAATGAGGGGGTGACAAAAAGAAAAAGAAACAAGAAACAACTTCAGTCTTATAAAAATTAAATTTATAAAGCTCCCTCTCTTCCACGTTGCAGATCTAACCTGATCCTGCAAGTCTAAATCAAAGCAGGTTTGCTGTTCAAATCATACCTGATCACCCTGCCAACTATAATTCAAACACATTCTGAAAAAAAGAGTGGCAACCACAGTGTCTACAACACATCCTTCCATTTTCAAATCATGTTTAAAAGATCCTAGCAGAAGGAACGTAAATGCTTTTCCCTAAATATCCTTGGTATGTGAGTGTCACACTGGTGATTAAGCCCAGGCCTTCACGCATTCTACACATGTATTCTACCACTGAGCTACACCTCCAGGTACACTTTAGATATTTATTAACACTTAGCCTTTTTCTTTTATTATTTAATGTTGATACTATTATATGGGAAAATAAAAATTTTAATAGAAAAAAATGAGAGATAATTCAGTCTTTCATTTACAGATTTAAGACCATTCAATAACTGCGAAGAGCTCCATTCCTGTGACTAAGAGTCTCATGTTGTGGTAACATACAATAAAGACACGGAAATACAATAAAGTCAAAGTCAAAATGTTAGGATGTAGCACTTGGCATTGAGATCATTTGGAATTAGATTATGTTCTTAATTCTTTCCAAGTTATCCCTTACCATATGAAACAGGTTACACTGCAAAAGCAATGTTGGCCAATATTGTTCCTTCTACCCAAGGGCTAAAAAGAAAAAGGTTTTCTTCACCAATAGTGTCAGTTCTACTTTTAGATTAATGAAGCAGCTACAGAAAGAAAAAAGAAATGTATGAACTGACTACCCTTCCATAGCTGCCTTGAATATAAAAACTGTATTCCTTACCTGAGGGGAAGTTTCTGCTAAAATTAAATCTCAAATCTTAAATGACTCTGATCTTCAGATTCTAGACACTGATATTCTTGTAAGGATGCATAAGCCACATAAAAGTGACTTATAAACCAGGCACAGTGGTGCAGGCCTGTAATCCCAGCAATATGAGAAACTGAGAGAAGAGGATCACAAATTCAAGGCTAATTAGCAAGATCCTGTATCCAAATAATAAATAATTACTGGGGATTTAGCTCAGTGGTTCCACCACCTGCCTTGCAACTGCAAGGAGCAGAGTTCAATCCCTGGTACAAAACAAAAAACAAAAAAACCCGGCAAAACAAAGTGGCTTATATTCTGTCATCTATAATCTGTTGTGAAAAACAGCAAGATGTTCAACATGGATATAATTAAATCCAAGGACATAACTGGGATAAATCAAAGCAACTTAACTTTGCACTTTTAATGTCCAAGTGTTACACACCCTGTCTAGATGTTCCTCCAAAGCTTCATGTGTTCACTGGTGGGGCTTTTCAGAGGTGGCTGGAACTAGAGTGTGTGATGCTTAGATTAAGGATGATTCCACTGATCAGTCAGACTGGTTTGGAACAGTTCTGGGTTGGGTAATGGGAAGGCCCACCCTGGCGTGAATGCTACCCGTCCTAAGGGCAAGTAGACCAACAGAACATAAGGGGCAGAAAGAGGGCTGCTGTGCTCATTTGCTTGCTGCTTGCTGCCTCTTCACTGCTTTGCTGCCTTCTGCCCACAATGAACTGTTTATCCTCTATAATAACCCTCTGCCATGCCATCCTGCCTTGGAGTCAGCAAACTGGGTGCTACAATAAACTTTTCCTCCTTTAACTTTGGGTGTTGGGTATTTTGTCTCAGCAATGAGAAAAGTAACTAAATAAGTAAGTCTGAAAACGTTTAACGTTTTTAAAGTATCAGTCTTAGGAGTATTTAACAGATAACAGTTAAAAACAACAAATTCTACAGGGCAAGGGAGCACATACCTATAATCTAAGCCACTCTGAAGGATGAGACAGAAGGATTACAAATTTAAGGTCAGGTAGGCCATTTATCAAGACCATGTCTCAAAATGAAAACGAGCTGGACTAGAGCACTTTTCTAGAATGAGTGAGGATCTAGATTCCATCCCTGGTGCGGGGGGGGGGCTAAATAAAGGAATCATTATTTTTATTTTAAACCTTAGAAAACATATGCTTTTAAGTTGAATAAATCTGAGTTTATTGAATATAAGGCTTCATCAGAACCATTTTAACAGAACTTATGAATTTTATGACAAATAAAGCTATTCTTATTTGTCTCTGTTAATTACCAAGGAAGAAAGAGTAGGCATCTTATATTGTTAACATAATTGAGTTTAGTAAATTTAACTTCATCTTTCAATTAATTTATTCCCCACTTTAAAACAGAATATATCTGATTAAAGTTATGCCGTCAATGACCCGTCTGAAAAATAGAAACAGAAACTGAGGACAAAGTAATTTGCTCCATAGACACACTTTATGACTGAATATTTAACATTTTGCATATCCATAAGCAAATTTTAAATGGCACTAACACAATCCTTGACTTACAAGACTAATACACTGAAAGAGGAAAGGAATGTATGCTAACAAAATACTTAAACTTTACATATAATTGTTCCTCCCTCATAATTCATATTAACATGAACTATATAATCTCCAAATAGATTTTACTATGCCTAAGTATAATTGGTCAATTAAAATGCTTTTAAAGAATAGTTCTTTGCTTTAAAAAAAAAAAAAAAAAACGTAACACCCATAGGATACACACAGCCTGTTCCACTTGGCTGGAGGAAATGAAGACAAAACAATTAGTTAGACAGCCCTTCCAACCTTTTTGGCACCAGAGATCAGTTTTGTGGAACACAATTTTTCCACAAGGCTAAGTGTGGGTGGAGGAATGCTGGTGCAATGGTTTCAGGTTGATCCCAGCAAGTTACATTTATTGTGCACTTTGTTTTTGCTACATTGTGTACTTTTGCTACATTGTATACCAGGAGCACCCAACCTAGATCCCTCTCATGTGCAGCTCACAGCAGAGTTCCTGCTCCTACAGGAATCTAATGCTGCTGCTAATCTGACAAGAGGCAGAGCTCAGCCTGCAAATCAAGTGCTGGGGCGCAGCTGTAAACACAGATGCTTTGCTAGCTTGCCCACCACTCAGCTCTGGCAGCGCAGCCCAGTTCCTAACAGCCCCACCCCTATCCCATTCTTGGCCAGGGATCTGAAGAAAAGGCTCGCAATTTAGCAGCAAATACAAGATGAAAAAAAGAGATCAAGCCAGTCCGAAAGGCTTGGTGAAGCAAGCACTAGCCATACTCAAAACTAGGACCTGGGAAAGCAGAATCTATTATCAAGCAGAGTTAAGTACATCAGTATAGAAAAGAAGCAAATATTTAGTCTGAAACCACACAACAAGGAGATTCCTCAAAGGAACTGGTCAGTTTCTAGTTTCGTTTTCCAGGCTCCATACAGACCTGGAGGAATGATGTTTCCTGTCTTTGGACTGCCATGGGATTCCCTTCACACAATTCAATTCCTCTTCCCCTGAGCTCACCTGGGTCTCAATCTGCATTTACAGAAGACTAATTTTAAGAATCAAGAAAATGTTTCCATTCCTTTAACCCACCAGTCCTAATTCTTTATTCCAAGAAATTTACTTGTAAGAAAAACCATAAAGGTATACAAAACAAAGCATATATAAAGGTGTAGCAATAAAGCATTGAAACTCAAGAGACAACATACAACTTCAGAATCAACCCAGAGTAATCTATTAAAACTACAACAGCCTCAAAAGCGCAAGGTCCCAAGTTTGATACCACCCCAAAAAAAACTACAGACTTTTTGTTCAATTCTCCTCCAAGTCAAATCTTACTAGTATGACCAAAACATGTTATGTATAACTACATATAGAAATGCGTGCCAGCATTATGGGCTCAGTCTGATTTACATTAACGGTATAGACTTTGTTAGAGAAAATTATCATAGGTTCAACTCTTTCAAGTTTTGTTGGTTTCTGTTTTCTTGTGGAACTGGGGCAGGAACCTAGTGTGTTCTTACTGAGTTACATCCTCAATGCTCCCCTCTCAACTTTAGTTTCTGAGAGCGTCTCATCCACTCCTTCAGCTTCTCAACTAAGTGGAATATCTTGTTTATTTTGAAGAGGCAATATAAATTTTAATAAATTACTACAATATCAATACCTCAAATTCACATTATATACATAGACAACAGAGGAGAAAAGGAGACCAGTGGTGAAATACAGTGGAACTAATAAGAAAACAAAATAGAAAGAAACTTAAAGAGGAGAAGAACAATGGAAAAATAGGAGAAAGGAGTTTGAGACAAAGACAATTTAGATTGAGATGACAGGAACTAAGCCATTAAAACTTTCTAATACCACAGTATGCAATTTAATATAAATATGATGAGTTGATAACATGGAGACAGAGGCTCAGGTTTCAGCAGTTGACAGCTGGCCGAAATCAACCATCATAATGATGTTTCCCACATAGCCAGTCAGTAGCCCTCTGTAATATTACCTCTGCCACCTAATCACAACTAAATCATAATAGGTTCCAATCTGGATGCAAGCAACTGCCAGTGACAGTAAAAAAGATTTCTCTGTCAGGTAAAACAGCAGTGGGAATAAATAGCCACAGGATCCAAGAAGTCAAGCTCAGACTATTCTCATCCCACATTTCATATTACTCTCTTATCTCCTTTATCTTTTACCAGACAAATCCTTCAAGAAACTGATGACAGTTATGAATTTTCCCAAAGAAAATGAAAATGCACATACTCCCTAATATTTACAAATAATTCTGGGTTTTTCTACTTCCTGAAGGTTATATAAGGATCCCAGCTTAAAACTAGGTTCTGGAATAAAAAGTTTTGTGAGTGGGAAAGAAGGGACACGAACTCAACAGTCTAAGCAGATTTGTTGCTAAAACTGAGAGGGGCCTCCTTTGTGCAGCCAGAACAGAGAAGGTGTCTCTTAAAGGCTAAGAGGCTTTTCTGCAGCACTTTTTGACAGGCTTTTGAAGGAGTGGGTTGGCGAAACAGGCTTGTGGCTC